GCTAGAGCCAACTAACCATGCAAGGACAGAGATTACTGAAATGTAACCAAAATAAACCTCTTCTCCATCAATCTGTGGGTGTCTAGCATTGTGCCTCAGTGATTTAGAAAGAGACCAAAATGCCATTATGCATATTTATTGCATCTTGCCTTTATCATTCAACAGTGGTTAGTGGAAAGTCCTAAAGGAACATCTATTTCATCCTTTTTAAGAGTGGATAGTGTTTGGGCTGGGGATTTGGCTCAGTGGCATAAGTGCCTGCCTTGCAAGCACGTGGTTGTGAGTTCAATCCCTGGTATTGATATAAAAAAAAAAGAGTGGATAGTGTTCATGATATGTGTAAAAATACAATTTATTCCATTAATCCTTTGTTGATGGGCATTCACCTTAGTTCCAGTTTTCTTAAATTTTGCTTGGCATTTCCTCAATAAATAATTGCATACACATCATTCTTTTTCATGAGTCCTCAGCTCCTGGAAATTTAATCTCTCTGACAAACGTCACCAAGCATTGATATATGCCGTTTTCATTTTAGATGATTTTGCTAGTTGCTTTGTAAAAAGGTTCTAACTTTCACACTTTCCAGCTGAGGTCTGGAAGCACTGCTGCTCTTCTATCTCTTTAAATTTTACTAACCAGTTTTAAATTTTACTAATCAGTAGGCATAAAATTATATCTCACTGTGATTTTAATTTCCATTTCCTTAGCTGAGAGTTAAACACCATTTCACATGTTGACTTGCTACTGATAGTTGCTTTATGGAACTGAAAATCTATGTTTTTTGTTCATTTTCTTAATGATTCTTTGCCTTCTTGTCAACTTGAAAGAGAGCTTTGGATATTTAAAATATGCAAGCTTTATCCTTTGTCTTTAATAATAACAATACCATCAAAGTATTTGACATCTTTGGCAATTGATATTATTTGTGGGTTCTTAAATAAACAGTATAAAAATTTTTAATTTTTCTATATTTGCCTCTACATTCTTATACAATGCTTGAATTTGCAGTTTTAGTTCAAAAAGTATTCTAGTTCACCTGTACTGGATATATTTACAAGTTCTCTATCTTCTATCCCGTTAACCTATTTGTCCACCTCTAAACTAATTTCCTGTTGACTTGATCCCAGAGACCTCATGGTATAATACGGTCTAATAAGGCAAATCTGCAGTCCCTGTTCCTTCCATTACATTTCTGGAATATTTTCTTTCAAGCTTTTATTCTTCCACACAAATTTATGACCATTTTTTTCAATGCCCTTTCTCCAAAAGAGTGGGGCATTCTAATTAGCATAGCATTAAGGTTTAGTATTAATTTTAGAGCTGTAAATAAGTGTATGATAGGACATTTTTCCACTTGCAGAGCCTCTTGTTCTATGCATGTACAAGTAACACACATTTTTGGTTTAGGCTGATTTTGTGGTTTTAAATAAGGTGACTATGGGTTTCCTTCATCAACAGTCATCACTCAGTGTCTGTGGGAGCCCAGCTCCAGGGCTCCTGTGATACTGGGATATGCAATGCTCTAATTCCTTATACAAGGAATTCCTGACACAAAATGGCACGCTCTTTGTGTATAATCTACTCACACCCTCCCGTATACCTGAAATCGAATCTAGATTACTGATAAAACCCAGCACAATGCAAACAGCATGTGAATAGTTGTTGCACTGTATTGTTGAGGGAATAATTACAGGGGAAAGCCTGTACATCTTCAGTGCAGACCTGAAATTTTTCCAGATATTTTTGACTGGTGGTTCATTGAATCTACAGATACAGAATACTATACACAGCACAGAAGGCTAGCGATCAACTTCCTGCCCAACTCTTAATATGTTAATTTTCTTTCAGTATTGTGAATTTTTTTTCTATGTCAAATAAGAGAAAAGTCAGTAATTTTTATGGATGGCTCTTATAGCCAGTCACCTTACCATATTTTCTTAAGAGTCTCCTGCATTTTTGAGTATACACTGTACCATAAGCTAAAAGATAGCCTTTTTAAGTTTCAAAACATTTGTAACAGTTATTTTATTTCATTGTGTTTTTCCATTCACTAAATCTCCCTGATTACCTTAAATTATGCAGAGAGCACTCAGGAGGCTGAAGCAGGAAGACTGCTGTGAGTTTGAATCCACCCTTCGGTACATAGTTCTAGGCCAGCCTGGACTACACAGAAAGATCTTGTATCAAAGGAATTAAAAAGAAAAAGGAGGACTAAAGATTTTTCCCTTATTGTTCTTCATTTTAATTGGGTTTCTTTTCCATTTATAATAATGCTTACCACTGATTTCCAGATATTGATATGGCTTAATTGTTGTATTCGTTGTTTACATACTCCAGCAGTTTTAGGTGATTCCCAGGTTTTTTGAGCTGTTAGGGACTCCTGCTATATTCTATCAAATACTTTGTTTGCAGTCAGTAGGGTAACGCAGGTTTCCTCCTCCAGTCCCTCAACTCATCGACACTGAGCCTTAGTTTACCAGGAACCATTGGCATTCTCTCTCATTGGCACACACCCATTTGGGTGTGCTGTGGAACCTGTTGGCTAATATTTAGGATTTCAGGTTTATATTCACAAATCAGGTGCTTTCTGGTTGGGTTGACCAGATGAATTGCCCTCAAGGAGCCAGGAAGGATAACTGAAACCCTATCACTGGGAAATTCTTCCAGGACTAAGATTCCCCCAGGTGTACTTGATCCAACCTCTAAAGAACAGATAACTGCACTGCTTTCTAACTCTGTCATTTTCAAACTTTGGCATCCTGGAAACAACCATCTTGGAAAGTTGGTTAAAAAATTTATATATATATATATGATGGATGGATGGATAGATAGATAGATAGATAGAAGATACAAACTAGAGGCCCAGCCCCTGTCACACTTAGAGTCTCTGTGTTCCTCATGAGCCTCCCACATGATTCTGACACAGGAAATAAATACAGCCACTGTTCTAGAGTATCCAGAGCTCCCAAGCCATTTTCTGAAACATACAACTTCAATATCACAATCTGATTGAGTGTGTTTTTGCCTTTTTAAAGCATCCATCAGACTGCACTGTTCCCCTGCTTCAGACTCGAGCTCTGTGTGAAAACCAAACTCACCCTGGGCCTCTGAGGCCCTGCAGAGAGCAGCAGAGCAGCGTGGACCCCTGGGCAGGGCACTGCCCTGGAGTGCGGCCCTCAGCCGGTGACTCCAGCTCTGGACCTTGGCAACAAGGAGCACTTTCCCCACTGCCACCCCGTGTCCTCTACCCCGACAGGTTGTCCAGGGCAGCTGCGGTGGCCCCCAGGACACGGGCATGGGTCACCTGGAAGCTCTCTGTTCTGTGGCTTGTGCGCTCCCTCCTCTTCCCCTCTGGCTCTGCCCCTCCCTTCCACTTCTTCCTCTTCTTCCTCTTCCCCTTCTTCTTCCCTCTCCTCTCCTCTCCTCTCCTCATCTCCTCCTTTCCTCCCTCCTTCACCCCCCTTCACCTTCTCCTTCTCCTCCTTCATTTTCTTCCTCCTTTTTTCTCCTCCTCTTTCCTCTTCTCCCTCCTCCCCTGTAAGAGCAAGGAGTTCATCTTTTTTTATTAGTCTATATCTGCAGTACATAATATTTACATTGGTGGTGAGGAGTTTGTGTGCGTACACAGCACACCTGGATTCCTTCTTCCCTCCCCTTCCCTTCTCTCCACTCCCTCCGGCCATCCTTTGATCCCTTCTCATTTGAGAAAGATCCATCTTCCTATTAGAGAAGCACAAACCTCAGCCATTTGTAGAAAAATGGACCGTAATGTGAAGTTAAGTAAACCAGACACAGCACTCAAACCCAAAGCATAAATAAAGAGCAAAATGTCAGATAATAGGGAGCTCATTTTATTTACCAGAATGGAATAGATTCACTGCCGTCCTTGTCTGAAGGCTTCTGGGTCCCACAACTTGCTCTGGTTTGTGTCTTCAAGCCCAGGGCCTGGTATGAAATATGTTTTGGGGGGAAATCTGCTAAATAAAGAAATGAAGGCTCGCTGGTTTTTACTCAGCTCCCAAGGGCCTCCTAAGAAAGGTCTGCTGGTTTTAAAATACTACCTTGAAACCTATAGAAAGCTACCTAAGAAAGAGGAAGCGGTTCAGCCTGAAAAGAAAGTCAAGCTGCAAACTCCAGCCAGCGCACTTTGTCTTCCCAAGTTATGGCCGTGGTAGCAGTGTGATTGCGTGATGAATCCCGGACCTAAATGAGCTGTATGCGGTCCCCTGGTGCAGAATCTGGGCCTTCAGGCTGGTCACCCATCATATCCTGGCTTAATAGATGGAACTCGTCAGTGACAAAAGAAAAGAGGGGTCTTGGGGTACGAAAGGGTGAAACGAGGTAAAATACTGAACTGGAACTAGAATAATTTGAGCAGACTCAAGAGAGATAAAGAAATCTGAAGGAATTCATCTCTGAAGCTTGAAAATACAGTTGAGCACATGTCGTGTTAAGAAGGAAAGAGGAAAGCCAAGTCTGGTCGGAATGTTCTGCTTCCTGTTCTCCTGTGTCCTAGAGTGTTCTGTCCAGGTGCAGCAGGATGGAGTGGGTGAGGGGCGGGAAAGAACTATCTTCCCCTCACAGACAGCCCTCAGGAATAATACCACACAGAATGAAGGGAGAGAATGTCAATCTAGTTCCACCTTGAGTTCACAAAAATCAGATAAGAAAACCAGAGAGGGAAGAGGAATCCACCAAGACAGCCATGCTGCAGGTGGGAAGGAATTGGCAGAATTCCTTGGACCTTGAGGTCCAGCTCTGCCATTCACTGCAGGGACAGTGACTGCGTCCTTCCAGTGTCCTCTGTCAAGTAAAGGAGAAGAGGGCCACCAGGTGCCTTCAACTCAGACTCCCACAGTCTATATCCACAGTGTTCCCTGCCACGAGAGCTGAAGATCAGAGACAGATGTTACTCAAAGGATGCATTCTTCAAAAAATGTTAGTAATTTGATCTTCTGAAAAACAAACTTTTTAACATGAAAAAAGAAATTCAAGCTCACCGGAGAGGAAACCCATCCTCACACTGTTTCTGCTCTTAATTTAACCAGCTGTCTGTTGTCTGCAGAAAATCATCTTCTGGGAACGTGGAGAGCTTCATGTTTTGAAGCACATTCTCCCTGAAGAATCACACCGTTAAGTCTTAATGGTGAAAACACCGGACGTATTCAAAAGAGCTGTGTGGATGGGGCAGCACCTGGTGGATGGGGTGGGGGAGGGAGGAGAGGAGAGAGGTGAGCTGGAGTTGGGGTCCCATGGATCTCAGCCCTGTAGGAGGCCACCATGCTGGAGCTGTCTGCAGGAAGACAGTGACAGGTGAGCAGAGCCAGCCCAGACAATGCCAGTCTCCAAAACATCCCACAGCTTACTCTTGTCACTGATGACTTGCTCAGCCTAGCCTTGGGGGCCTCCCAGATTCCTCCACCAGACAAGAGGCTGGGGCAGGTGTGGGACCCTCTGTTTCCATCAGGACGGTGGGGACAGGTCGGTGGCAATCCCTGGCATGGGGCTCTGTGCACTGCAGGCTGCTGAGCAGAAGCCTGGCCTCTACCCATTGAGGCTCACAATAATACCCCTCTCACCCCAGCTGTGCCTCCCCCAGTGTCCTGAGCCCACGGTGCTGTCCTCAGCTGGAGAACTGAGTCAAACCGGGTACAGTGTGAGGTCCACAGGGTCTGAGGCCAGGACACTTCCTTTGTGTCTAACACCGCATGGGAAACCTCGAAGCTCAGATCAGCCATTAACCCCAGGCCTCCACTTGATTAGAAATATAAAAAGTGACATAAGACATCCAAATATTTTAAGACATCATGTAGATTCTACTGTGATAAATTAACCACCAGAAGTCCAAAAAGTATAAATAACCTCACCTTTAGAATCTATGACAGCTGAATCAGGCATCTGAGCTCACAGGCCGGTAACCCCAGCATTCCAGGAGGGTGATACTGCAAACATGGATTCAAGCCCAGCCTGTGTGATTTAGCGAATTAACAAAACTTGGTCTCAGCATGAGAGCCCTGGGTTTAATCCCGACACCACCAAAAAAAAGTCGGTAATTTAGATAGGGTGGGGAGCCGGGAGGGTTCTTGGCAATTAGCAATTACAAATAGGGAAGGAGCACCTCTGTGCTCAGCAACTGTGGAGGTGTGACCCGGCTGCTCAGCCCCTGTGGGTTTCAGCAGTCTGACTTGAAGACCAGAAATTCAAACTTCCCACAGTCTGGGATCCAATCACATCAAGAAACAGTACATTCTTAGCGGGGCCCGCAAGTGTGCACGGCAGCCGCAGAGAGGCAGACAATCTCCAGCCACTCACCCACCTCTGTGCTTGATCACCTGAGGCTGGATCAAGCCAAGAGAGGACTGGGGAAGGTCCTAAGTTTCCTCCTCAAAGCCTGCGGATGAGGAGCCTTCATGAATTCTAGCAGAGCTTGTGTGGCACCCCCCAAATTTATAGAACACAACTCACTCATGCTTCAAACACCTAAAATGCAACTAGGTGTTAGTGGCCCATGCCTGTAATTCCAGCACTTGGGAGGCTGAGGCAGGAGGATCCCCCACAGGTTCAAGGCCAGTTTGGGCTACAAAGTGAGCTCAAGGATAGCCTGCCCTGCATAGAGAGACCCTGTCTCAAGAAAAAAATCTCAAGATATGAGGGCCTGTGGCTGATGAGCTGCTCATGTAGGAAGAGGCAGCTGCTGTGGGGCCTGAGTGTATGTGTATGGAGCTCTTCTGGGTGAGAGATGCACAGCTAGAAGGAGGCCAGCAGAGGAAACCACCTGCAGATTGCCCTGGACCCCAGCAAGGAGCACAGCCTCGGGAATTTTGCCTCAGGATCCAGTAATTGAGTCTCACCCATCGCTGATTTAAGTGGTTGTTAGGGGAGGCTTAAAACTGTAGACCTCAGGAACAAATTAAGATGCTTAGGGTTGCTGGAACACAGTAAGTGCATTTGGGGTGCAAGAAGGACGGAAGTAAGGGGCTGGAGTGGGGTATGGTTGAATCAATGTGTGTGCCTCTCCCAAAATGCCAGTCACATGTGACCACTGGTGGGGGGGGATGTGTAGGAGGAGCTCTGAGCAGTTATCACCTGCCCAGGAAAGCAGCACCTACACCAATGGCATCATTGCCTTTGTGAGAAGAACCAGAAGAAAGTGTCTGCACTCCTGCTGCTCCAGATAACACTGTAAAGTCAGAATCAGTAACCGGGACAGAGTCCTCACCAGCACCTGAGCAGGCTGACCCCTCACCTGCCTTCCATCTGGAAGAACTAAACTTCTGTCCTGATAAGCTGCACTGAGCTGGGTAACTGCTGTGTCCACTCACACAAAGTGCTCAGAGACTGGTTAGCAGAGTTCCCGTGTGTCTGAGTGCCCGACTTTCTGAAGACCGAACACCCACCCTGGATTCGGTGGCACCCACCAATAGGCTTTAGCCTGGCTGGAATAAAAGGGAAAGAGGAAGTCTTCAGCTTGTTCGGAGGAGTTTCCGTCTTCACCATCGCCTTTAGAGGTCTGCCCCCAGCCTTCCAGCGTGCTCTCTGGTGCTTTGTCATAGCAGCCTCAACTGACCAAGATGAAACTTAGTGAGAAAAGAATCTCTACAGTGAATGTCCTGTATGTTCAAAACAGCTTCCAGGTAATAAACTGGAAACTAATCACTTTGTTCTTTCTTCAAGTAAAACATGTATGTGATAAAAATTCAGCCAATGTTGACGAAACAAATCCTATAAGTTCCCTTCACTTCTGTAAGCCCAGACATTGATCAGGGGAAAATACTACCAACAATTTCACTGTTTCCACAAACATTTTTCCTGTGTATAGACATACAAAAAACCAAAAACCTGTAGCCAGGTGTGACGGCTCACGCCTGTAATCCTAGCACTGGGGAGGCTGAGGCAGGAGGATCATTGCAAGTTCGAGACCAGTCTGGGCTACAAAGTGAGCTCAAGGCCAGCCTGGACTACATAGAGAGACCCTGTCTCAAAAAAAAAAAAAAAAAAAAAGAAAGAAAAAAGAAGAAAGCTTTTTTTGTGGGAATCTTTATTCTTTTTCTTTTTGGGGGGGATAACATTAAAAAGTCCTTAGTGCTATACTTTATTTTCACATCTAATAAAAATTACTGCAAGATCTTTCCATGTCAGATTACATACATACTTTCATTCCCTTTCAATTTTAATTGAGTATTTTAAGTCTGGTTGAGCCATGTGTTACAGTTCCCTCCTGATAAACATTTAGGATTTCTTTTCGTTTTTCAGTTTTTCACTCTTAGCAACAGTGCTGCAGTGAAAAACCCTTGTAAATGTTTCATAATTTGCATATGTAAATGTTTCCTTTGGGTAAATATTGAGAGTGGGATTGCTGGATTAAAAGTGTATGCATATTTTAAATTTCAGCAGAAGTTGTGAAATTGCCTTACAAGAATCCACTCTATACTCCAATCAACAGTAAATGAGAAGAGTTACTTTTCAGTACATTTCCTAATACTTGGTAGTATCACTACCTAAGATTTTACCCTTACGTGGGAGTTTTAAATATGTTATTGTTTAAATTTGCCTTTTCTTGGTTACTATGACCTTGAGTCCCATTCATGTTTGCATCCCTAGTTTCTAGTAAACTTACTAACATGAACAAAATGCCAAATATATTTAAAATATTAAACTCTTAATTGCCCCAAATGCAGCTGCAGCAGCAGACAGCAGTTACTATCTGATGTGAACAACACTTTATATTCACAGCCTCACTAATCCCTTCTCCTGCTTTCCATTGAGTTTTCCTTCCCATCTTATAATGAAAAGTCAGAATCTCTACAAGATTAAGTAAGTCCCCAGGATCACAGAGATAACGTACAATATAGAATCACAGCCCAGGACCAACTGCAGGAACTGAACCACATTCTTCCAGTCAGCCCCGGATCTGCACTGCACACTGGGTAAGCAGAGCTGCAGGCTGTCTCATGATCCCTACCACTGCGCCCACTCCAGAAACCTGGGCGGCTGGAACACAGGGGATGTGATTAGCATATGCAGTGAATGTTTACATTTTTTAAAAATGTCTCAGTAAAAGACACATTGCTATGAATTACCTTCAAAATCCTCCCCTTCACTTCAAACACACTCGTCCCACCATCCTTGCCACTTCCTGCAGCAGCTCTGGAGTCCTCTTAGCTGGAGGTCTTTATGAGCTGTGATCAGAAACAGCGACTGCTGCTGCTAAGTGCTACCCAATGGAAAGGCAGCTGCAAAAACATGGCGCTGTGTCCTCATACTCCTTAGTCACCAGACTGGGACTGTGTGACTCTGGCTTCTCACCAAAGCCAACATGATGGGAAAGAGAAACGTTTTGAGTCCATTCAGGACATGGAGGCAGCCAGGACAGCACAGATAAAGACCCTCAGGAAGTGGCAAAGATGATGGGATGAGTGTGTTCAGAGAGGAGGGTTTTGAAGGGATTCCTGGAAAAGTGCCTTTGACTGTAATAATTTCTTTTAAATTTAATCATAATTGTACTTTTTGGTCACACACTGTCAATGCAGAGCTGCCCCCACGGAGCTTTGCTGCCACATCTTGTAACTTAGAGCCTGCCTATGCTCTCTCCCTCACCCACTCTTGGAACTCGTGGCAGCTCTCTAGTTGGGAAGGGTAGATTCATGTGGACTCCATCCACCCCTATCTCACAGATGTAGAACTTGACTCACAGAGAGGTCACGAGTTGCCTAGAATACAAAGTACCCTGAATCAACTTGATGCTTCACTATAATCCCACCATTGTGGGAGGCTGAGGCAGGAGGACTGTACATTTGAGCCCAGCATGGACAACTTAATGCCTTGGTGAGACCCTATCTCAAAATAAAAAAATTCGCTGTGAAAACAAATGACCATCCTGCCTCCCTGCTTAGCAATAGTAAACCTACTGCTGCATAGCCTAGAGTCAAATATCCCACTTCCCCTATCCTCCTTCTCCCCCCACCCTTCCCATTAGCAAATGGGAACCAGAAATCTGAGCATCTCCTGGGAGGTTGACCATAGCAAATAAGGGGGACTTCCTTCTACCATTTCTTTGAAGGCAAATATTTTTATTACTGTTTTGCTCTTTTCTGATTAATGGTACTGCTCTATTCAATATTCTGTTTTGATAAGTTCTATAGTGTTCTGTATTTCATCTCATTTTGATATATGTGACTGAAAGAACAACTATTATAAAGATAACAAAATATACTGTGATACCTATTACTGTTATCCCGGTAACCTGCTGTGAAGTTCTGTACCAATTTCACTGTACGATCTTAGTTGGCTTTATTCTGACTTGTTCTGTTGTATACTTCCAAAATAAAAAAAAGTGAAAAAAAATTAAAAAGAGCTGGGAATGTAGCTCAGTGCTGAGGCCGTGTTTAATCCCTAGTATCATCCCACAGACACGCAAAAAGGTCAGCAACAGAGACAGAAATATCAATATTTTTCTGGAGCTCACAGAGACCCACAAGTAAAGATGTTTATAACACAGAAGTGCATTTCCGATGTCCTCCACTGCAGGTGTGGGATTCCTCTCCTGCCTCCGCTGCCCCTGAAGTCCCTGGACCACCTCCTGGCTGTACATCCGAGACCTCTCATGAGCCCAGGACTGGGCTGACTGTGGCATGGTGCCCCCTTGTCTACCTCCATGGACCAGGGGGCAAATCTCTGCGTCTGCCCTTCCCATCCTAGTCCTGTCTGCACTGCCAAGCCTTCTACTACCCCTGCCCACATATCCGGAGCACTCTACAGTTTATAAAACAGCTCTCTGACAAGGGTGGATGCAATTTATCTGAAGCCTGAAGCTCTCACCACTAAAGGGGCTTCATATGAGACTTAAAACGTGTAAAATAAAATTAAAATTGAGTGAATAATTATTTGTAATCGAGAAGAAAATTTTTATGAAAAGATGTCAAAAGCAGGCAAATATAGTAAGTACACAACATCTAGGAAAGCAGGCTTTTTATTTTTAGGGCCCTGCTTGACCCCTTCATAATCTTTTCCTCTGCCTTCTGGAGCTGGCCGCTCCTCACTGACATGACTGAGAGCTGCAGCACCTGTTTACACAGAGGCAGTGAGAAGCTCCACCTTTCCTCTAGCAGGATGGTCAGGTTTCTACCGTGTTTCCATTTGTCTGTTCCTGGTACTGGGGACTGAGCCCAGAGCCTTTGTGCTGAGCTAATCTCCAGCCTGTTTTGTTTCTTACTTTGATTCATCCATGCTTGCAGTTCATAATCATTACACTCGCTGTAGGGAATTGCTACATGTACGACACATTTCAATTCTTTTTTTCCTCTTCCCTCCACCCCACTTTTATTTTTCCAGCATCAGACTCATTTACTTATGTGGCCTTGTAAAGTTTATCATCACACATGCAGGCTAAAAACTAGACTAATAAGCCAAAGAATATATAATAGGTGTTTAAGACTATCGTACTGAGCCAAGGGACACTTTTAGATACTTTGTCAGCACTGGATTACAATACCTTTTTCTCTCTCTTTCATGAGGTCTCACTATGTCATGTGTCACCGGGCCGAGCTCAGATTTGAGATCCTCCTGCCTCAGCCTCCAAGACTTCTAGGATTATAGGCACCACTACGTGCTCTTGTAGTAGGGACCCTGCAATGTCATCTTTGTTCAACTCATGAAATGACTATCTCTGCTCTGGCTCCTAACACAGCCCTGATTCCATGGGAGACCCAAGGAATAAAAAATTGACCTAGGGATTGATAGGCACCATGGGAGCAGAGCATCTAAATCTGCATTTAGACCCTGACCCTATGGATGGGTGACCTGTCTGCGTCAGGGAATGTGGAACAGAGTCAGCACGCTGTCGGTGTCGCAGCACTGGACACCGAATGAACCAGGGGACTGGGGCTCTCCAGAGGCCCCACTTCCAAGCTTCTTCCCTGGATCACAACGACCTTACCTGTGCCTGCAACATCTCCGTTGGAAGGAATTCAGGGACACGTCTGGAGGAGCAGCTACCTGGTGATGTCTCACAGGCTCCATGCAGCCCAAGAAG